TAAATGTGCTAGGCGGCCCGCATGTGGCCCGGGCCGTAGTTTGCGGACGCCTGCCCTAGATCTTGCCAGTGTTTGCTGTTATCTTTTTGATCATAGCCATCCTGGGAGGTGTGAAGTATGGTGGGTTTGATTTGGATTTAATCAAATGGTAATAATACTAGGCATCTTTTCATATATTTTTGGCCATTTGTGTGCCTTTTTTGCAGAAATGGCTATTCAAATGCTTTGCCTGTTTCTTAATTGGATTATTTGTCTTTTTTAATTACTGCGTTAAGAGTATTTTATATACTCTAGATACAAGTCCCTTATCAGATATGTTAATTTGCAGATTTTGTGGGTTGCCTTTTCACTTTCTTGACAGTATCCTTGGAAGCACAGAAGTTTTCATCTTGATGTAGTCCAGTTTATATTTTAGTTTGTGCGGGTGTTTTCGGTGCCGTAGGTAGCTAAGAAACCATTGCCTAATCCAGAGTCATGTCCCAGCTCCGAGTTGTGAAAAGACTCTTTCAGATTGAGTGGCCATGGCACCCTTGTCCAAAATAAATTGATCCTGGGGGCCTGGGAGGTGTTGATTGCAAACATAGGGAGACATCATGTTTTGTCATCTCTTCCTCCTCCTAGTCAGGTGGCCATGGGCAGGTCGTTTTCCCTCAACATTGTCCCCGTGTTCCAAACAAGGTGTCACAGCCAAGGCAGAGGCCGGGGAGCTGCCCTCCTCCGTTCCATCAGCACCCGCCAGTTGCCTCCAGCTAAGCTACTTTGCAGGTGCTCTGCAGGTCGTTTTCCCTCCAAAGTCTCTGTTCTGTCATTTGTAAAGTAGGAGTGATAACTTGCCTGTTGCATTACATGAGGTCACACTGAAAATAAGCCTGAAGGTACTCCACAAGCATCAGTCCCACTTCTTCTGTCACCTGATATGGCTGCCCCCCACCTGGGTGTCTTTCTCCCCACCTGGACAATTTGGAATGTCTGGGGTACCTGGTGGCCTTGAAGCCTGGAGGAGTGGGAGTGGCTCCCAGGGCCCCAGCCTCCTCTAGGGACTCAGGGCAGCATTTCTGCCTATGTGTCCCCCAGCCCCGAGGCACACTGGTGCTGGCTCCAGGCTGTTCCTACATGGTTGGCTTAAGCAGTTCTTATTTTAGAACAAACCCACTGGAGTGGAATCTTCCCAGAGTCATGGGGAGGTAAACAAAGGGGCCCGTGGGACCCACTCTCTAGCTCTTGTTTAAATTAAGAGGAAAACATGTTTTGTTTCCCTCAGCGTGGGCTTGGCGCCTTTCAAGTCTGCCCGATGAGGAAGGCGGCTGGGGGCCCTCGAGGTGAGGAATGATGTTTGGGGTTTGAGGCTGGGTGGTTCCTGGATTGACAAACCACCCGGTGCTGGCCAGGAACAGCTGTCGGGAGCCGCTGAGGAGGGGTTGGCCCCTGCCCAGTCCCTGGCGTCTGAGTCACCAGCACGAGCTTCTGGGCCTTGTGGGCACGGACCCGGTGGGTTGGGCAGCAACAGCAGCAGCAGCAGCAAGAGGTCGCAGGGGCTGCTCTGGCCTGCGGTGCCAGTGTGCAAGCCTGCTGGCGTAATGGTGAGTAGCCAGGGCTCTGCAGGCAGGCCCGTGTGGACGCGTCTCTGTAGCCAACCGGTCACACACAGGGAGGTGGCTGTGTGAGAAGGTCCCTGGCCTCTAGGAAGCTCCCTGAATGGAAGTATGTTGGCTGCTTTAATAATTGTAATCCTCCAACAACCCTTCACGACCACAAACATTGTCCCCATGTTCCAAACAAGGTGTCACAGCCAAGGCAGAGGCTGGGGAGCTGCCCTCCTCCGTTCCATCAGCACCCGCCAGGTGCCTCCAGCTAAGCTGCTTTGCAGGGCTGCCTGCTGTGGGGTAGAGCAGGGGGCCTTCCCTGGGGGACGGAGATTCCAGCTGGAGGGGAGGGACAGGGCCAAGCAGAGGCCAGAGCGGCTGCAGCAGGAGCGGCAGGAGAGCGTCATGGTTAGGGCCTGGTTGAGGTGCTCTGCCAGGCAGGGCTCGGCCTGGCAGGGAAGCACTGTCAGTGCCCGGCGCTGCTCCGCCCCCCAGAGGCGGGTGAAGGGAGCCACCGAAGGCGGGAGGCACCTGGGCCCGGTGGCGTGCAGCTGCTGCACAGGCCTGGAAACCAAGGCCCAGAGAGGCGGCGGCAGCTCAGCCCCCCTTCCCCTCCCTGACACTGCTGCGCCCACCCTTTGCCTTCTCAGCCCTTGCTCATGCTGACCCCTGCTCTGCTGTGTCCACTTGACAAGACACAGGCGGTCTCTGCAGGCCCAGGGCAGAGTGTGGTCCAGGGATACAGCTTCTGGGTCCAGCTCTCTGCCAACCAGCTGTTGGGTCCTAAGCAGGCAGACAGGTTTCTCTGGGGCTTCGTGTGGCCCCCAGGAGAGGGGCAGAGGGGCCAGTGTGTGGAACATGCGGGAGCAGGCCGCCCAATGCCCCTGTGGGTTGAGGTGTCGTGGGGGAGGCTCCCTCTGATGTTTGCCATCCATCCTTCTTCCCTGATCAGTAGGTCCTGACCCTAGATGCTGGGTGGGGCAGACGGCCCTCCTGCCCCCATGGCTCCGCCTCCCGGCTGTGGTGCAACAGTAGCAGCGGGCCCTGTCCATGCTGTCCTGCCGTGGGGAACCACCTCCACAGCCAGGGCCCCCTCCCTGGGCTCGCAGACAGAGAGACGCTAGGGGCAGACAAAGGGCTTGTCAAGAGTTCCCTTTGAAGGGATCCCGTGGGGTCACTGGGGCAGCACTGTTGTTGCTGGGGAGGGCCTGGCATCTCCGGCAGCTCCCTGGAGGTTCAGGTGACAGGAGCATCCCCTGGCTGCTGCTGGGAGGAGCTGGGGCACAGAAGTGGACCAGAGTCCCCCAGCCAGGGCCTAGGCCTTCCCACTGTGCCTTGGCTCCAGCGTCCCATCCACAGGAGGGGGACAGGTTGGACAGGGATGTTATGACTGCTTCCCTGTGACAGTTGTTCCTCTCACTGCCCCTCCTCGCAGTGAGAACCCCCTGCCCACGGTGGAGATCGCCATCCGGAACACGGGCGATGCAGACCAGTGGTGCCCGCTGTTGGAGACCCTCACGGACGCTGAGATGGAGAAGAAGATCCGCGACCAGGACAGGAATACAAGGTAGCCCTGTCCCTGTGCCACCGGCTCTGCCCACAGGCACCCATCTTCCCAGGCAGGGCCATCGCCTTTCCCTGGTGACCTGTGGCCTCTGGGAGGGGACCTGTGTTACAGAGGCAAGCTCTTGCGAGATGGGCCCCCCTGGGTGGGTTACCTGCAGGGAACAAAAGCAGGTCCTCAGGTCAGGTCTGACCACAGCCTGGACCAGGTTTTAGGTCCCTGGAGAGGTGGGCAGGGCCTGAGCAGCACACAGGCAAGGCCGAGAGAAGGCCAGGGGCCGACGGTGCTGGTGACCCGCATCCTGCCTCTGACCCTGCTCCCACACTGGGCTGTCCTAGAGGGCCCCAGGGAGGGCAGCCCCACGCTGGGAGCTGGCCCCACTCACAGCCCTCTCCTCCTCCAGGCGTATGAGGCGTCTCGCCAACACCGCCCCGGCCTGGTAGCCAGCCCACCGCCGCTCAGCTCGCACGGAGCAGCTCAGATCGGAGCCTCTCCCTCATCTTCTGGCAAGGAGAGAGGCAGAGGGACAGTCCAGCACCATCCTGAAGATCCGGGGACAGGGGCTTCCAGGTTGCCCTCCCCAGCACACATTCCATTTGCTGAGTCCCAGGCCTGCTCCCCCACCCCAGCAGCCTTCCCCAGTCTCTGGGGTTAGGAGTAAGCCTCATTTTGGGTTGTGTTTTGTTTTTGTATAGGAGCCCCAGGCAGGGCTAGCAACACTTTTTTAAATAAAAGGCTATAGGTCATGTTCAATTTCTTCAAAATGCTAGCATTGAAATTACAGGAGAGTCAGGAGTGGAGCCTGGCTACAGTTGGAGGGGGTGGTGTGTGGCCAGGGCCTACACGCCGGGCCTCTGACCCTTCTCTGCCTCAGGTCCCCATGTGGGGCTTAACGGGGTTCCACTCAAAGTACCCGGCTCGCAGCAAGGCCCAAGTCAGAGCCCTGTCCTTGCATTTCCTGGGGCCCTCCGAGTGCAAGAACCAAAAGGAGCGGCTGGGAGCTCAGGCTGGGCCGCCCGCCTTCAGCAGCAGCCCGACCCTGCTCCTTTGGCCCGGCCTTGGGAAGGGGCCGCTGGCTCTGCTGCATCCAGGTGGTCAGGCTGCCACTGGCTGGGCCTTGGTGCTCTGGGATCCCTCACAGAGGGCCTGGTCCTGTGGGCACTGCCAGGCCACCGCCACCCTGGTGCAAGAGGGCGTCTATCCCAGCTTCAGCGGTGCCCACCTCCCCCAGGTTGGCACAGTGGCGCTGTGGCCTAGGCCAGCTCCTGCCTGCCAGGCCGGCTGTGAGGAAAGTGGGAATGACACACCCAGCCTGGTGCCGGCTCTGGGGGTTGACTGGTATGTAGGGAGGAGGCACAGCCCTCGCCCCCTCTCAGCTCTACCTCACAGGAGCTCGTGTGCCCTGTGTCTTCATCTGTCACGTGGAAGTGTCCCACACTGAAGAATGGACGTAGGATCCAGGAGGGCCACAGAGTGGACACACAGCCAGAGCCCCAGCACAGGGCTGCTGCCGGCAGGTCCTTCCCTGCCAGGGCTGAAGTGAGAGGCCTTTCTGCTCCCTGGGAGTGTGGCAGGGGCTCCCTAGGACCTGGCTCACAAACCGAGCCCCATGTGGGCAGGGGCAGAGCTCTGCACAGGTATTGGGGTTCTCAGTTGCTGGAAGATACAGGTGAGATGGGCCTGGCCCTTTGCAAGGGTTGGAGGCTCCTATAAAAACGTCCTACCACTTGAGACGTGTGAACTCAGGTCCTCTGTCCTCTGTCAAAGAGTGGAACTCACCAGAACCCCACAGCAAGCGGACAGCTGGGTGTTCCTGGAAGGCCCTGAACAAAGAGGAAGATTCCAGGCCCATCTGGCCTTGGAAATGAACGGGCTTCGTTGCTTTATTACTGAAGTATTCACTCAATCCATGGGGCAGCAGGCAGCCCTGTGCCCACCCCGCTAGGCAGGCAGGCCGGCCCACCTGCCGGGGAGGGGCCTGGGGAAGGGCCCTCGCAGCTGCAGAGCCAGGTTTCACTACATGATTGAGGGCAGACTCAACGGACCGTTTCTGTTTCCATGAAAACAATAGCTGGTGGCTACAGGACCCTGCAATGTTCAGCACCTGGAGCCACGACAGCGTCAGGCCTAGAGCAGCAGGAGAGCTGCCAGGCCACCTGATGCCCACGTTACAAGAGAAAAAAGTGATCTGCAGGGTCCCATAAGGCACACACAGGTCCTCAGCTAAAAAGGGCAGGGACAGAGCTTCCCAGAAGTCTCTGCCTCACCCAGTCACAGGACTCTGGAGTCATAGGAAGGGCAGAAGACCCAATCCCAGCCCTCCTCTACACCTGACCCCAGGGGGCCTTGGTATCACTCCATGGAAAACAAGGTAAAGGTGCACCTGTCAAGGTTGCTGAAGAGGGACAGGAGAGGTTGGGCCAGCATCAGACCAAAGGCACCACGGGGAGGGGCACCTGTTTTCCAGGCTCGGCACAGGCTAGGAGAGCCCAGTCCTGGCCCCAGGCGCTGGCCAGCGCCCCCTGACCAGTAGGGAGCAGAGGCCCAGGATCAGTAGGACTTGCCTGAGGTTCTATCAGGGCACTGGCAGGGCTGGGACGAGAACCCTGAGTCTCACCTGTGAGCTCAGAGCTCTGCTGGGCAATGTGGGCAGGTTCTTTGCCCTGGATGGGCCCCAATCCTACTGCCTACAACAGGGCTGAGAAGACAGGCTGGGCGAGGGTGGAGGGCAGGCGTGAAGGGCCTGGGAAGGGGAGCCTTGTGGCCAGCCTTGGCAGGGGGAGCCAGTGCCTCAGGCCAAAAGGCTGCAGAGTCATACTGTTTATTTGGGTGGGCCCTTGGGTGGACCCAGCCTCCAGGAGGGAGGTGGTTCACTGCAAGCAGGGGTTGGCGAGAGTGCAGGCCCTCTAGAAGCCTCTCCGGCTGGCCCTGGGTGGGTCACTGCTGTGGAGGTGGCTGATGGGGTCCTGGCTGCTCCTCAGGAAGGGGCAGGTAGTTGGGGTCCTCCTCAGGAGCATCCAGTAGCAGCTTCCTGTGGGGAGGGGCTCATACTGAGCTGGGGCCAGCACAGATCCCCTGGGGTGGGGGCCATCTGAGGGAAGGGAGGGGAGGGAGGGTTGTCATCTCCAGCACTCACAGGAAGCCAGGGGTCAGCAGTAGCCTCTTGCCTCCAGGTTGCTTGGGGAAGACATCCTCCAGGAAGTAGTAGATGTGGCCCACAACAATCCCTGTGAGAAAGCCACAGACTGCCAGAGGCCACCCTCCACAGCCCAGTGTCCCAAGCCACCAACATGTGCTCCAGGCCTCCATCCAAGCCCAGAGGCCCTTCCAGGCTGAGAGTAACCTCAGGCCCCAGAATATAAGGACCCCAAAGTCCTGCACAGGTTGCCAGCCCAGGGTGGGGCCAGGGTTGGCCCTGAAGGACAGGCTGAAAGGGCCAAGAAGTAGGCAGGACCTGGGAAAGGGAAGGCCTGAGAACACTGCGAGGAGCAGGCCAGGAAGCCGGAACACGTGTCAGGACCCACGTACACACCAGCAGGTCAGCCCTGAAGATGCAAATCACATGGGCTGTCGTGTATGAGGGGCTACAGGAATGGAGGAGCTGGCTGGGCAGGGCTGGCGGTGGGGAGGCAGAAGAGGCCCCCACAGGTGGGAGTGGAGCCCAGGGCAGGGCCCGCTCCCCCCATGTCCTGCCAGGAGCAGCCAGCCTGGGTCGGGCTGGATGGAGAAGCAGGCTCACCCAGCAGGTCCACAAGGATCGAGTTGCCCAGCAGCAGCGAGAAGCCCATGAGTGCCCAGGGCAGGAACGGTGCCTGGAAGGTGAGGAGGCCGAAGAAGTTCACCCTCACCAGAGGGCTGCGGCGGCTCCACACATACACCAGCATGGCCGTGAGGGCCTGGCCCAGGAAGAACAGGCTGCCCAGGAGTCCCAGCAGCTGGGCAGAGTCAAGGTGTCCTGGTGCAGGCCTGGGCCAATGCCCTGGGCCCCTCTGCCTTCCTAAGCCCCTGGAATCCATTGCTTTCCTTCCTCTTTGCCTCTATGTGCCTGCCATTCCCCCATCAAGATGAGCCCCTCCAATAAAGGCCACACTCGTGGCCATCAGGTCCTATGAGATGTGCCCTGCACATCTACCACCTCATCCCAGGCCCCACCCACTGCCTGGCCCCACCCGTTTCTCCTGGCTACTGGCAGGCCCCCCACCTGGCTGTCCAGTGCATCACCCTGTTGTACTACTTTGCATACAGCCCTGGCACCTGGAGCTGAGCACATGGTGGATCAGTACATCCTAAGGTGGAGTGAACGACTCTGTCTCTCTCTGGCCTGGGCATTCAGGTGCGGCCGGCCCAAGGCGCTGTGGCCTAAGGTACCAGAGTCCGTGGGAAGGATACGGTCATAAGGACGCCTCCGAAGAGAAACATGAAGGCGAAGTCTGCTGTGCGGCCACGGAAGGAGCCCTCCTCCAGCATGCGGCAATAGTGGAACCTGCAGCGTTGGTATAGGAAACGCCACCTGGGCGCTGCCTCAGTTTCCCCGCTCCCCGCCTGGCGGACCTGCCCCCACCCGGCCTGGGTCTGCGCAGCACAGGATACACGAAGAGCATGTTGAAGAAGAAGCTGAATCCCAGGGGCCCGAAGAAGAGGAAGTTGGTGATGAGCCTCCAGACCTGCAGGGACGGATGGTCAGGCGCGGACCCGCGGACCCGGCCCGCAGGTGCAAAGGGCGGGGCGGCCTCACCTGGAACTTCCGGAACACGAGGTGCGGGTTGAAGTAGAGCTGGAAGGGGCTGAGGAGCTCCAGCTGCTGTGGAACCCAGGGCGCGTCAGGGGCTGCCGCAGAGACCCCTGCTGTAACCATGGCGACCCTGCCCCCTGCCCCTGCCCCAGGCTGCAGTCATGGCGACGCCCCGCCCGCCCAGCAGCTCACCACGGCGGCGGTGGTGAGGACACAGGCCGCGGTGTAGGTCCGCGTCACCGCCGGCACCCGCAGAAACTCTGCCGTCAGCCCCCGCCACGCCATTGCACCAGCCCGGGCACGGTGGCGGACCGGCGGAGCGCCCTTTAACCCGCCTCTGCCCCGCCTCTCCAGTGTTGACTGGCGGCCAATGAGCAGGCTTCACGGCCGAGCTCGTGGCGGGTGTTGTGGCTGCGGTGGCGGCGCGGGAGACAGTATGGCCAATGAGGAACTGGAGGCTTCGCGGCATTCTAGGGGAAGACCAATAGCGAGGGCCCACGGCGCCGCGGGGGCGGGGCTCAGAGGACGAGGTTTGTGCGGCAAAGACCGAAGCCGGCCGGTGGGTCCGCGAGGGGCGGGGCCGCAGGCTGTGGGCGGGGCCAGGAGGGGTGGGCGGGGCCGCAGGGTGTGGGCGGGGCCGGGGGCGGGGCCGCGAGTGCGCGCCGCGGGTGGTGCTGGTCCTCTTCCCGCGCGGGCGACCGGGGCTCGGCCTGTCCCCTCCGCGACCCCGAGGCAGACCCTCCCAGCGCACAGCAAGGGAGGCGTCCGGGAGCGCGTCCAGATCCCCGAACACGAGCTCCTGTCGGGTCTTCCCGCCGCAGGAGCGGCCGGGCGGGCCGCAGCCCTGGGGGAGACGCGACGGCTGTGAGGCGGACTCGGGGGCCTCAGTGTTTTGGTGGAAGAGAGAAGCTCCATTCGTTCATTCGCCCGTTTAATGGGCACCTGCCGCGTGCCTGTTGCTGCCCTAGATCCCGGGGACAGGGCAGCTGACAAGCGGCTGTCCCTGGCACCGTGAGCCAGCGCGGCCAGGGCAGTGGCCGACAGGACGTGGCAGCGGGAGGAGTGGGGGCTGCGGTGCCCGGAGGGCGACCCAGGAGGCCTCTGTGAGGAGGTGACTTTTTATTTTTCTTTTGAGACAGAGTCTCGCTTTGTTGCCCAGGCTAGAGTGAGTGCCGTGGCGTCAGCCTAGCTCACAGCAACCTCAAACTCCTGGGCTCAAGCAATCCTCCTGCCTCAGCCTCCCGAGTAGCTGGGACTACAGGCATGCGCCACCATGCCTGGCTAATTTTTTCTATATATTTTTAGTTGGCCAATTAATTTCTTTCTATTTACAATAGAGACGGGGTCTCGCTCTTGCTCAGGCTGGTTTCGAACTCCTGACCTCGAGCAATCCGCCCGCCTTGGCCTCCCAGAGTGCTAGGATTACAGGCGTGAGCCACCTGGCCCAGCCAGGAGGTGACGTTTGATTATTATCTTAAAAAGATCCCTGTGTCCATTAGAATGCTTACTATAAAAAACAAAACTAAACACAAAAACAGAAAATCGCAGTGCCAGCAAGGGTGTGGAGAAATTGGAACCCTTGTGCACTGCAGGTGGGAATGAATATACAATTGCGCAGCTGCTGTGGAAAACAGTATCGCCATTACTCAAAAAATTAAAAACAGAATTATCATGTGATCCAGCAATACCACGTCTGGGTGTAAACCCAAAAGAATCAAAAGCAGGGACTTGAAGAGATACTGGTACACCCATGTTCCTAGCACCATATTCACAATAGCCAAATGCTGGAAACAACTCAAGTGTCCATTGACAGATGAATGATAAACAAAATGTGGTGTTTACACATTCAATGGAATATTTTTCAGCCCTAAAGGACTGAAATTCTGATATATGCTACAACATGGATGAACCTCGAAGACATTAAGCTAAGTGAAATAAGCCAGACACAAAAAGACACATTCTGTATGATTCCACTTACACAAGACAGGAATGGGGAGTTACTGTTTAATGAGGACAGAGTTTCAGTTTGGGGGAAAAAATAAGTTCTGGAGGAGGGTGGAGGGGATGCCTTCACCAGAACGTGAATGTGCTTAATACCACTAAACTGTACACCTAAAAATGGTTAAGGCAAATTGTATGTTGTGTGTGTTTTTTTGTTTGTTTTTGTTTTTGAGACAGAGTCTCACTCTATTGCCCATGTTAGAGTGCTCTGGCGTTAGCCTAGCTCACAGCAACCTCAAACTCCTGGGCTCAAGCAATCTTCCTGCCTCAGCCTCCCAAGTAGCTGGGACTACAGGCATGCGCCACCATGCCCGGCTGATTTTTTGCTACATATTTTCAGTTGGCCAATTAATTTGTTTCTATTTTTAGTAGAGACGGGGTCTTGCTCTTGCTCAGGCTGGTTTTGAACTCCTGACCTTGAGCCATCCTCCCACCTCCCGCCTCCCAAAGTACTAGGATTACTGGCGTGAGCCATTGTGCCCAGCTGTGTGTCCCTTTAAGAGAAATTTTGTAAGAGATCTCTGTGTTTGCTGTGAATGCAGTAGGCTGGCAGGGAAATCAGTGAGCAGGGGAGACTGCAAGGGACAGTAGTGACTTGGGCAGGCTAGAACCTGGAGGGCAAGGAGTGGTGGGCGGTGGGCTTGCCCACAGATGAGACCGGGCTGTGAGAGAGGCGTCAAGGGTAAGTTCGAGGCCTGAGCTACGGAGCAGATGGATGCTGGTGGTCTTGGCTAAGATGGAGAATTGTAGAGACAAGGCGGGTGCGATGGAGAGTCCCCTTCTGGCCTCACTGAGTTTGAGCATCTGTGTGACATCTCTTGGAAAAGTCTGCGTGTGGTGTTGGGGTAGAGGTTGGGGCAGGCAGTCCAAACGTGGGTGCCGGTCAGCAGAAGGGCAAAAGCACGTGTAGCTGCGGGCTGGTGTGAGGTGCACAAGGGGCAAGGCCACATGGAGAGGAGACGCTGGGCCCGGCAGGGCAACCTTCAGCAGTCCCAGAGGGCAAACCCAGCTGGGGAGGCTGAGGGAGGCTGAGCAGGGTGGGCCCAGGACCCAAGCCAGGGAATGGCTCTGGGAACAAGGCAGCGAGAAGCCCAGGAAGACGTGGCATCAGAAGGCGCTGGGTTGCTAGGTGGGCTCACGCCTGTAATCCCAGCACTCTGGGGGGCCGAGGCAGGAGGATCGCTGAAGCTCAGGAGTTTGAAGCGAGACCCCGTCTCTACTATAAATAGAAAGAAATTAATTGGCCAACTAATATATATAGAAAAAATCAGCCGGGCATGGTGGTGCATACCTGTCGTCCCAGCTATTGGGAGGCTGAGGCAGGAGGATCACTTGAGCCCAGGAGTTTGAGGTTGCTGTGAGCTACGCTGATGCCACGGCACTCTAGCTCAGGCAACAGAGTGAGACTCTGTCTCAAAGAAAAGGCGCTGGGTGGCAGCCATGCCAAGGTCCTGGTGCGGGCGGGAGGGAGGCGCAGCTGGACGGATGCGCCTTCACTAACATGTGGAGCTCAGCTTGGACACAATGTGGAAGACGAGGGGTGCTCTGGATAGGGGTCCTGAGGTCCCCCAAAGAGGCTGCAACTGGCCAGGAGGAAGAACTGGCTGGGAGGGTGGTCTCAGGTGGATCCCAAGGGCACGAGGTCCCACAGGGCGCTGAGACGAGTCCCCTGGGGAGAGAGGGGCAGGACCAGTGCCTGATGACAATGGGTCCGGGAGCCCCCTGTGTGGGGAGGGGCGGGCTGGGAGCACGGAGGGCTGTGCATTTGGTGTAGGATGAGGAGGAGGTCTGGCCTATGCAGCAGGCATTAGGCTCAGGCGCTGAGAGGTCTGGAGTTGGGGACAGGCTGAGGGGCCTCCTTGGCCAGCCTTGGTTTTCCAGAGAAGCAGGCCAGGGTCGTGCTGGAGGCCGGCCATGCAGGGCAGATCCCACCCTGGCAGCGGCAGGGTGGGGATCCCGGGCCTCTGCCGCCAGGGCCGGCGCCTGCCAGGCACGGAGGAGCCAGGAGGGAGGTCCGGTTTCAAGTCAGCTAGGGACTGGGGTTGTTCCTCCTCCAGGTGCTTAGCAGGCCTTGGCCCTCCACTGGGGGGGGGGGCTAACGGGAGGGGCTGTCATTGTCGGCAGGGGGGCAGGGGCGTCTGTCTCCCCTTCGATTGGGGGCCGATAAGGCAGGCGCCTGGCTTGGGGGCCCAGAAGCACATTCCAGGGCTGCGGGGAGGCCAGCAGAGCCCAGAGGGAGTCCCGTGGGACATCCAGGGAGCAGCATTCGGGTTCCACTGCAGACACTCCCTCCTCAGAGCCCCTGGGTATGCTCAGATGAGGAAACTGAGGCACAGTGGGAGGTAGAGCAGCCCTGGGGCAGGCTTCTGTCACCAGTCCTGGCTTGTCCTGTCCAGTCTGAGGCCCAGAACAGGCCACTCTGGAGACACCATGTCCACTTCTCCTTGAGTCCTCGGGCCCCTCCCGAGGGTGCTGTATGGAGAGAAGCCCTGGGCACCCCAGGTTCCAGGGGCCTAGAGACGCAGGCAATGCCGGACCGGATGTCTGGGGGAAGATCTGCTGCTGGTTCCGCCTCACACTCCAGGGGGGCCCTCATCCGATCCTGGTAACAGTCCAAAAACCTGGGGTCATCTCCGCACCCCCAGCCCATGTCACACTTGGTGCCCCCATGGAACTCCCCCAGTCCTTTTCCTCCTCTCCAATATGCCTACCCCCCACCTCCTCTTGTTCAGCCTCAGTTTCTCTTCTCTGGAACTGCCTAGCTCTCTGGACCATTCATTCATTGATTCATTCATTCATTTTCTTCCCTACCAGCTAGATGTGCTGTTAAAGAAGAGAGGAAGAGCAGGTGGAAGTGCCCTACTCCAGGAAGCCCTCCCTAATCACCTCTGAAGGGACCATAGCTTACTTATCTTCTGTGAGGTCCCCAAGCACTTAATTTTTAAATATATTTTATTCCTAAGTCAGCCCGTGCCTGTGGTGACAAAGCAGAACACAAGAAACGAGGCGAATGTTTGTGTATGTGTTGGAGCAGCTGCATCTTCCTCTTGATGACACATAGCGCCCCTTGCCCGGGGCTGCGCGCAGGGCCTGCCCCTTCCAGCACGTGGCCCCCAGCCGCGGTGGGTAAGCTTCCGCTGAAACCCCGGCCAGCTCCTCCCAGGAGCAGCTGTGTCCCCCTTGGCCCTTTCTGCCTGGGCCACAGGGTATTTTTAGCACTGAATCCGGAAGCCACATGGCAGCAGCTGCTGGTGGCTGAGTGCAAGAACAACAAACTGCCCAGGTGGGCCGCGTCAGAACTCAGCCAAAGAGGGAGTGACCTGGGCTGCCCCTCTGGACCTGGTAGCAGCATCTGGACTTTCCAGGAATAAGCTGGTCTCTGGGTGAGACGG